TTCCTTAAAGGATAAATAAATACTTTAATATGAAACAAAACATTTTATTTTCAATGATTGCGTACCTGCAATGTACAATTACAGCAATTAAAGAACAATACTTCTGTAAGATAGCAGAAGAATGCATATATAATTTGTAAAAATAAATACATTTTCTTTCTGTAAAATGTATAGAAAATATTTTATTTTCAGTTACTGTATACCTGCAATTCTTCATTAAGGCAAACAAGAAATTCTTCTATAAAATAGTAGAAAAATATGTAATTAATTAGAAAAAAACTATCTTTCCCTGAAAATATATATTAAATAGATTCATTGAATTATGAGTAAAAATAGTAAGCCTACTCTTTAGTTCAAGACTAGAATAAATTGCAGCACCTCTATAGGAAAATAAATCTTTCATGAGATTATTCTCTGGTTCAAGACTAAAGAAAAATATCACTTCAATAGAATAATCCTATGCAAAATAATTGTTTTGATGAGGAACATATGCACCATACTTAAAAAACAGAAAGCAAATATATCACTTATACATGAAACTCAAAGAAACAGTTTCTCTTTGCATAGTTGCAGAGAAATACATTACACTGAGAGCACAATGTTCGTGTTCTATTCTTACATCCTTCTCTGCGACATCTGCGGAAAGAGTTCTTACCATCAATGACTATTGGGAGATGAGATGCACCTTTCTTTCTTTCAGCCCTGTTTGGCAGAGGAGTCAAGCCCTGTTTAGCTGCCTTTGGAGGGGGCTCAGTCTCTGAATCAATACAGTCTACTGAAGAGAGACTTGCATCAGAAATACTCTGACTGTCAGTGGCATGGTCAAAGAAATCACCTGACATTAACTGGTCTGCCAAGATTAATTTGAAGTCTAGATATTGTTTGGGTTTTGACTCCATATCCTTTCTGTATTCCAGCCAACAGTTGGCAGTTACAACATCAAGTACATGCAATACCACCCTAACAGTCCACTTCTTAGTGCGATTGGGGCTTCTGTAATAACAGTACTATTTGGTCATGAACATCCACACCCCCCATGGCACTGTTGTACTCCCTTACCACACGGGGCCTCTTTACACCAACATGGGTATTGGTAGCCTTAGACCACCGCTGGCATATATCTTCGTCATCAATAGAGAACTCATTGGAAGCCATTAGTACCAACTTTTTGTCATACCAAGCAGTCACAGCCACCTTGTTATCATTTCGGACTTGGCAATCGGATGCCCCTCTGCCCTCTTTGCGCAAGGTTGCCTCAGTCTTTAATTTTTGCTTAGCCTCTTTAGGTACCATGTTTTTCTTAATTGTGCCTGTTCCTCGAAGGCCTCTGTCATACAGATCACACAATAAGTTTGAGCTTGTAAAAATCTATCAAAAAAGATACTTGTGCCAGCATCCACACTGCGCACAAACCTTAATACTGCTGCTTCACCAGTTGTGAGGGTTCTGTCAGGTTTAACATTCAGCTTTTCAATAATGGATAGCAATGCTTCTTTAGTTTGAAAAATTTCAAAATCGAGTACCATTCCACTTGGAGAAGCTAGGACAAACATTTTTAACCCGTCTGGGAAAGGTTTGCCAGGGACATGTTGCCTGATACTGATTCTACCTCGAAAAGGAATCATGCTTTCATCAATACTGACCTTCGATGGCCTTGGCAACTCGCTGCAACGAGTTCGTACTGCTTCCAACAAAGGTCTTACTTTCCATAACCTGTCACTTTTTTTGTCGTCTTCCAATACAGTGTTATCATTAATAACCTTTAACGAATGTCTGAGACGGAAAAATCTGTCTCTTGCCATTTTCAGCTATCCAAGGGATCCTAGTTTTTGACTGCCAATACATTCTAATTCTTGGCATCTTTATGATTGACATAGCAAATGTCATTCCTATGAAAGTGGCAATTTCTTTGCTGTTTGTGTTAATACATGCACCTGTAGTTTCAATTGATTTCATATTTGTATACATTGCAAATATCTCCCAAAAATCACTGACAATAAGATAGGAAATACTCAATTGGTTTCAGTAAGTTACAAGCTCCTAAATTTTCTGTTGCATTCTGAGGAGCATGGTCTACGAAAGATTTATTTCGTAGGTAAAACAATCTTCTTGGCTCCCCAGCAGTTGAAGATACAGATATCTCCTGGAGATCCTCTTCAGAATCCGAGTCCGAAGAAGTGACAGCTTCTTCAACTCCAATTAGTCTCCCAGATGACGTCACTGCCTCGGGTAGCCAGTCATCATCACTCTCACTGAAGTCACTTTCATCAAGGAGATCCAGAAAAGACCTAGTCTGTGTCTCATCTGGTGTGGTACTAGCTGAGAGTTGGGCTGCAATATTGAAGCCGTGATTTGGTATGGGAGATGCTATGAGACAAACGTGATGGCTCTGTTCTACCTAAGCTGATTAAGATGAAGTTGTAACATTGCCATGTGTTTTGTCTTGAAATTATTGGAAAATTCTAGCATTAATCAGAATGACAGAAATATTATCATACTG